ACACTTCAATCCGAGCAGTACTTGCATTGGTGGCTAGTTGGGATTTGCATTTAGAGCATATGAATGTTAAAACTGTGTTTTTGCATGGTGATTTAGAGGAGCAGATCTACATGCAGAAACTTGAATGAAGGTTTCATTTAACCTGGAAACGAGCATTTAGTTTACAGATTGAAGAAATCTTTGTACGGGTTGAAACAGTCTCCAAGACAATGGTACAAACGGTTTGACTCCTATATGATCAAGATTGGCTACAAGCGATGTGAGTATGATTGTTGTGTCTATGTTAAGAGCCTTGATGACAATTCTTTTATTTTTCTGTTACTGTATGTTGATGATATGTTAATTGCTACGAAGAATATGGATGATGTTATCGGTTTGAAAACTTTATTGAGTTAGGAATTTGATATGAAAGATTTAGATGCAACAAAGAAAATTCTTGGAATGGAAATTTGCAGGGACAGAGACTCAAGGAAACTGTGGCTATCTCAACGAGGTTATGTTGAGAAAATGCTAGAAAGGTTTGCGATGAGCAGCGCAAAACCAATGAGCACTCCATTGGCGAATCACTTTAAGCTTTCAGCAGAACAGTGCCCTAAGACAGATAAGGAAGCTGAAGATATGGCAAAGGTTATGTATTCTAATGTTGTTGGCTACTTGATGTATGCAATGGTATGTACTCGTCCTGATTTAGCTCATGTTGTTAGTCAAGTTTGTAAGTACATGTCTAAACCTAGTAAGCAACACTGGGAAGCAGTCAAGTGGATCTTTAGGTACTTAAAGGGTACTGTGGGATATGAAATTGCTTTTGGTAGTCAGCGGGATAATCTTTTGGTTGTAGGATATGTGGATTTAGACTATGCGGGTGACTTGGATAATAGAAGATCTACGACAGGGTATGTCTTTACTCTTGGTGGAGGGCATATTTGTTGGAAGTTTACTATTCAATATGTTGTGGCATTATCTACAACTGAAGCTGAATACATGGCAGCGACTGAAGCTGTAAAAGAAGTTTTATGGATTACTGGTTTAGTGAAAGAGTTGGGTGTTCAACAAGGTGGAGTTCACTTGCTTTGTGACAATCAAAGTACTATTAACTTGGCTAAGAATCAGGTATATTGTGCTAGAACTAAGCATATTGATGTAAGGTTTCACAAGATTAGAGAGTTGGTTGTATCTGGAGAGATTTTTTTTCCAGAAGGTACATACTGATGAGAATGCCGCTGATATGTTCACCAAGCCAGTTACGACTGACAAGTCATGCATTGTTTGGACTTGTTGAATGTTTCGAGTTGTTAAAGAAGTAAGGTAACCCAACTCGCATTGAATGTTTCCTAAGGGGCAAGATATTGAATAAAAATTCTAGCGCCGCCTAGGGCACCGAGGACGTAAGCACATTGTTGAACCTCGTTAAAATTCTTGTGTTCTTTCCGTTTTCTTTACCCGATTATTCAACAAGTTTAGTGGGTGGATATTTATGTAAAAAGTAATATTTGTCGTGGGTGTTGGGTAGGTGATGGGTTTGAGACCTTACCCACCCCACATCCGCCCACCCCGTATCCGTCCGCCCATTAATTACCCATTGCATAAATTTTAGACATTTATGAATTAGGTTAATTACCCATTCATACATGAAGTATATCAAATTCTCAATTTCATACGTAATATTTTAAAATTCTCAATTTTATACATGGAGTTTTCTACTGTTAAAGGGTTCACTCACTTCCGTAACGAAAAGTGACATATGGAATCCTGTGACCACTGACAAAATGACACGTGATACTTTATAAAAATATTTTTTATTTTTAAAAACCATTTACTCTATATTTTGACAAAAAACATATAACACATACTTACACCGGTGTAAGTTAATAAAATAAAAAGTGTAACTAACATATACTTACATCGGTGTAGTATATATGTGTTAAATGTTTTTGTAAAAATAAGGGAAAATGATTTTTATTTTTTAAAAAAAATTAAAAAAAAATATTTTTTAAGTGTCATATGTTATTTTGTCAGTGATCAAAGAGTTTCACGTGGGCGGGTGTAGATTTGAGAATGTACCCACGTGGACAGGTGTGAAATTAAAAAATTAAGTAGGTGGTGGATACAAAATATTAGATTTTGAACACCTGTCCCACCGGTTTGCCATCCCTAATGTTATCAATTATCGTATTATATGTAATACATTACAGTAATCATAAATTTATCTCCATAATCTATCAATATATAATGCTTTAGTTTTTTGATAAATGAAGCCGTTCTTATTCTCTTATTTCTCTCTGCGAGGGACTCCTCCAAAATCCAGTCTCACAAAATTGATCCCACATCTTATTTTCAAAATCTTGGACTGTCGCGCAGCAATCATCGTGATTATCAGCTTTGCATCGCTTACCTTTTCCCCATCAGGCAGTCCAAATCAACTTCCAATTCCTCCCTTGTGGGCCAACGTTTAGTCGGGCCTAATAAATGTTGATTCTTCTTCATCACCCGTCTCTTCTTTCAAGTGTTCTGGCAAACCCTGGCGGGGAACTTATAAAGGGCTAACACAAGCAGCTCCACGATACTGCATGGAAAACAGCAACATACCGCCGTGCATTCCACCACGGTGACGCCGATGGGTTGCCCTAATCTATTCCTTTTCTTCATCGTCTTTGGATCCTCCGTTACCGAAAGCGTTTGCCTCCGTTTCGCCGGTTGTGCTCTCGTAGTCGGAGGAGCCATCGTTGGCCAAAATGTATATGATTCTCCCTAACTTATCTCGATCAAACCAAAAAGAACAAACACATATAGAGAGTTAGAGGATAGATAGAACGAGGAGTGTGATTTTGAAAACACAAGCAACCACGCGAGAATCTAACTGTAAATTCATTTTGAAATGGATTTTCAGCTCAGCAAAGCAAACAAAAAAGAAAATCGAGAAAATAAAATCGGGAGAAGAAAATTAAATCCAACAAACAAATTAAAGGTAGGTGTTTAACAACACGGAAGAATAGCCGGGAATTTCGAAAGATAATTCTAGTTGGTTTATTTTTGTTGTTCGTTCTCATGATTTCGTTTATTTGAAATATTAAACACGGCTACTCAATACGTTTGGTTTGATAAGCGCACCCCCAACGTTTTTGAGGTGTGATAAAGAATATTTTTGTTATAAGGCTTAATATCAAAACAAGTACTCAAACTATATTATTTTTTCAAATAGGTGCCTAAACTAATTTTTGTATCATCCAGGTGCCTAACGTTACAACCGTTACTCGTTTAGGTGCCCGGGCCGTCAACGGCGTTAATTTCTCCAGTTAAGTGACACATGTTAATAATCTGGTGATTTTGAAATTTATTTTTTAAATAAAATATTATGATATTTATAAAAGACACTAACTTTTCTTATATTATAAAACAACTCTAAAATCCCAAATCCTAACCTTAATCCACCGCCACAGCCCTTTCCGACTATGACCACCGCAATTGATGTAGTCCCTACCATCCTCCTACTCATACACCGTCGTATTTTTCGTTGATTGGCCGTCAAAATCGCTATTTTAATCCTAGGGTTCTGGAGGTTTAAAACGTTGATTCGTCGTCGATAGGTCATCGATTGGCCACAATTACATTAGGGTTTTGGTCTCCGGGAGGAGGGGAGGTCAGGTGGAGCTTTGTCGATGGCAAAAGGCGGCTGTCGGTGTGAGTTTAGGGGTTGAAATGAAGGTTTTCAAAGTTTTGAATTTATTTCAAAGTTTGTGTTTTCTGTTTTTTAAAATATCTAATTTTTCTGTTTTTTTTCTTTTACTTTTTTTTTAAATTATCAAGTTGTGACTCGTGTCATTTAACGGGAAAATTAACACCGTTACCGGCCGAGGCACCTAAATGAGTAACGTTTGTAATGTTAGACACCTAGATGAGACGAAAATTTGTTTATGTACCTATTTAGGAAAATGGGTATAGTTTGGGCACTTATATTAGTATTAGGCTTTGTTATAACGAATATATTTCCCAATAAATGATTTTACCGTTCAACGTTAAAGATGGCTGAGTGACACTGAGTAGAGAATTTCTGATGTGAGTGGGATGGTGCGAGAGTTAAGGATAAAACTAAAAAGGATAAATTACGTATTTAGTATATAAACTATCAGTTTAATTATATTTTAGTATCTAAACTTTCAATACTTTTAAAAGCATATCTAAAGTTTAGTTTTTGTTTCATTTTAGTACCCCTCCATTAAAAACTTTAATTTTTGTCTCATTTTAGTATCCCGTTCAAAATTTAAAATTAAGTTTTGAAAAAATTAAATGTTTAGGTATTAAAACATACTAAAACTGATAGTTTAGTTACCAAATACATGAAGTTTTTTAACAGTCGGGTACTAAAATAAAATGAAAGTTAAACTTTGGGTATTATTTTAAAAAATTGAAATTTTAAATATTAAAACGGACCAAAACCAATAGTTTATGTACTAAATAAGTAGTTTACGTAATTGTAAATTGTGTATCAAAAGATTATACTAACAAAATTTAAATTATAAGACACAAGTAGTCAACAGTAATTATTAGAAAAGTTTTCGAAGTTTTCTGATGTGAATGATCTTGGAAGTTCAAAGGACGTAAAAGGGATCCCAACTGAGGTGAAAGGGTTAGGCTTATTATATGATGTTCTCGTCAAGTTTGGTCGAGTGGGAGTAAAGTATGCTGTAGACCATAACACTGGAACCGGTGCAGTGTTATATTTTCCCAAAAAGTGATATTATTATTCTTGTTTTCAAGTCGCGTTATGTTTTTATCTTGTTATGCAAAAGCTGAGAGAACATGATAACTTGACCTTTAGTGATCAAGTCTGTTAAAAACACCATGTTATCCTAAAGCTAAGAGATCATAACACTGGAACTGGTGCAGTGTTACATGTTAGGATAAAGTCATTAAAGCTGAGACATCAACGAGAAGGAATAGTTAATTACAGCACAAATTAGATGCATATTTATTAGGATTTAGAGTTCTGCATTAATGTGTAAAACACCAGTGACCTGTTAAAAACAGTGATTTAACAGACATTTCAGTTTTCCACCCCTAACAATATCTTAGCCTCCTCGAAAGTTGCCCATACACTCTGTAAATCTGCTTCCAGCTTCTCAGACAACAAACCCGAATGAGATGACAACAAGTGCTTCACCTTCTTCCCAGATGCAGCTCTCAATGTCTGCAACTGTTCTAGTCTCCTTTTCTCCGGCTTCAGTTCTTCATCAACGGCCTTCATCTCCGCCTCGACAAGACCTTCATCAAAAATATTCTGCTGATACTCTAAGATCAGACTATCGATTTCAGATTTCCCATTCTCGGAAGTTTCGAGGAGGGTCTCTTTTTCTTGGATTGCACGTTCCATGGCAAGCTTTAACTCGTCCATCGACTTTGATCCTTTTTGTATTTCCATTGAGACAGCTTCTATGTCGTGTTCTACCTTTATCAGCTTATTGTTCAAATCCTGGTGTCTCATTTTGATGGCTGCCAAGCTTTTGCGGGATGACTTGATCTCGTTTTGCAGCTTGCTTTTCTCTTCTTCAATCTTCAGTAAATCGGTAGCTTTGCCACCCAAACATAAGTTTCTCTGCGCGGGATCGACTTTATCCAAGTTATCAATGGCGAATAAAACCTTGTCATTCTCTTGTCTTTTGTGTTCTTCCTCAAGCTTTGATTTCAAAAGGGCAATGTTGTTCCTTGTTGCTGATTCAGATTCCTGTGTCTCATTCAAGGACGCCTCGATTTCAACCTTGGCGTTCTTAAGATTGACCAGTTCTTGTTTCTTGTTGTCCAAGTAGGACAATGAGGCATTTAATTTCGACCTTGCTTGAGCTTCTCGCTGTTCGAAGAAAGCAACTGAAGAAGAAAAGCTTGAAATAGAGTATTTGAGTGATGATAACTTACTTTCAGTTAAAGCTTTTCTTTCTTTTGTTTTGGAAGAAATGATTGCAACAGATTCAAGGTGTCGTTGTTTCTCCTTTATTCCACTTTCCATCAGTTCGATTTCTCTGGAAAGGTTACCGATCTCACGGAACGATTTCTCAAGGGAGCTGAATTCAGTAACTGTCTTGGCAGAATCCAAAAGTCTTTTGTTTGCCTGTTTCAGTATTGCTCTTGCAGAATATAAATCTTCGGAAAACTTTGCAGCAGCGGTATCTGGTTGGTCTATTTCCATGTGATTCCCTGCTTCTGACTGATTATCCGAATGTGCATCGTCGACATTCAGAATCACTTCAGACAACTTTCTTTCTCTTGCATACTGCTCATGTGAAAAGAGGGTACCAGTTTCCCCCTCCAAATCTTTTGAGTCAAACTGCACATGAGGTTCACCCAAGCTGACTTCAACTAGCTTCTCAAGGCATTCCATGTGATTCCCTGCTTCTGACTGAAGATCCAAATGTGTATTGTCAACATTTAGAATCACCTCAGACAACGTTGGACTTTCACCTGCATTCTGCTCATGTGAACAAAAGGGGGCAGTTCCCCCCTCTAAATCCTTTGACTCAAACTGCACTTGAGGTTTATTCAAGCTGCCTTCGCCTTCATCGAATTCAATTAGCTTCTCAAGGCATTCTCTAGGCTCCTTTCTGTTCGGAGTTCCCAAAGAGGAAAACATTCGTTTGAACTCGTCTCTCTCCTGCATTGCTCTTTCATACAAACCCATCAATTTGTCATTTTCTTCATGCATTTCAGTAAGCTGTTGCTCAAGGTTATCGACATCTTTCTTCAGCTTGACCAGCTCTTCTTCACCATTTTCATGTAAACCAACATCATTAATGTCTCCTTCATTCAAACCTTTACAATTTCTTTCAGAAGCTTTCTGTTCAAATAATTCAAGGAGTTGCTTATTATCCTCAACATAGCCCTTAAGCTTGGATCGTAATTCATCGTTCTCTTGGGATAACTTAAACGCCTTCTCATGAGCTTCTGCTTCTCTCTGACTTGCAGCTGCTATGGCATCAACCATTGTTTTAAGCTCCACTTGGTCATTAGGAGTGATGATAGTTGGCACATCCGCTGACAATGAACGAAGTTCTGTTTGTTGTATAGCTTCCTTCGCAGATCTTGAAGACCGTTCTTCTTCAAGTTTGTTAAGTAAATCACTCACATACCTGCAAAAATTTATAATTAATTTTTCGAAAATGCTTATTCATATATGATGCTGCATGGATGTTTCTTTCTATTTGTACATAATCTCTTAAACTATTGAACATACCTCTCCAACTCTTCCTTCTCTTCCAGACAAAATTCAAGTTTTTTCTGGAGTGCATCCATTTCCGACTTGTTGTGAATGGCCTTTTTAAACGAAAATGTTTATGAATTAATCACACGAACTCCATCTTTAACCAGAAAAAGAGGTACAAAGAAATAGTTCATCTGAGTATAGTTACCTGCATTCTAAGAAATTCATTTTCCTCCTTGTGGCTAGAGGACCAAGCTGAATCCTGTTTGCAATATATCAAATTTCTTTTTTTAGGCAAGAAATATCTAACAATAGATATTTTTTTCTTCAAATTCAGACACCCAATTTGATGTCATAATAGTATGCCTCTTATTTGCAGTCAAAGAAGTTATTGGCTATCTTATGTCTCACAAACCTCTTAATACTAGGCCAAGAGATTATTGGCAATTTGAAAGAAGATCAACACAAGAATAGCATAGTATTGTTATATAGGATTAATTTCAACAACAGAAAACATTTAGTTACATTGCCAAAGAAACATGCTTGAAATTGAAAGTTTTAAAAAGTACACTCGAAAGAGAGCTTTCTATTCATTATGATATTACAATTATAGAAATATCTAACAATAGATATTTTATGGCAAGATACACATTGCAAAAGACAACAGAATTTTTTTCTTCAAATTCAGACATCCAATTTGATGTCATAATAGTATGCCTCTTATTTGCAGTCAAAGAAGTTATTGGCTATCTTATGTCTCACAAACCCCTTAATACTAGGCCAAGAGATTATTGGCAATTTGAAAGAAGATCAACACAAGAATAGCATAGTATTGTTATATAGGATTAATTTCAACAACAGAAAACATTTAGTTACATTGCCAAAGAAACATGCTTGAAATTGAAAGTTTTAAAAAGTACACTCGAAAGAGAGCTTTCTATTCATTATGATATTACAATTATAGAAGACTGTGTTGGAAAAGTAATCTAGCTCAGTTGTGTTAATTCAGATTATAGTAAATTACAAATAGTTTCCAAAGATATAGAGATGCATAAGAAAATAACCACACTGAGAACCTGGAAGAAAGTAGATAATATTAACTAATTTGAAAGAAGATCAACACAAGAATAGCATAGTATTTTTATATAGGATTAATTTCAACAACAGAAAACATTTAGTTACATCGCCAAAGAAACATGCTTGAAATTGAAAGTTAATAGAGTTTTAAAAAGTACACTCGAAAGAGAGATTTCTATTCATTATGATATTACAATTATAGAATACTGTGTTGGAAAAGTAATCTAGCTCAGTTGTGTTAATTCAGATTATAGTAAATTGCAAATAGTTTCCAAAGTTATAGAGATGCATAAGAAAATAACCACACTGGGAACCTGGAAGACAGTAGATAATATTAACCAACCTGTCTCAGTGCACTGAGATCATCAGAAACTCCAGACACCACTTTAGAATTTGTTTTCTGTATTGCATGAACATACCAAAACCAAGATTTAGAAAATTTTGGTCGCAAAAATTAAAATCATCAAAATTCAAGTCATGACAAAGGTTAGCAAGAACCTCAATGGTTAAGGACTCTGGTTCATGCATAAGTTTCCAATCTAGTGCCTCTAGCAACTGCATAATAGTTAATGGAGTTAGCAACATCTTCCCTAAATATCAATATTGACCATGAAATTAAAAACTAGTAAAGTATATTTGAATAACTTTTTTTTGCGCCTTATTGTGTAATGCCTTAATCTGTTCATTCTTCATCTCCAGCTGGCCTTCATCACAAAGGGACTTTAATCTGTGAGTAGTAAAAAACATCAGATACATAATATTAGTGTTCATTTATGACAAAAAAAGAAATCAGTGCAACACAGATATCAATAATAGAGAACAAGTAATAGAGCAAGTAAACCACTCAAAGCGCTGGTTGGTTTGCTCATAATAACAACTATATTTGGTATTTATAACTCAGTACAGATCTCAATAATAGAGCAAGTAAAATAACTGGATAGTGTTCAAAGAGTGAAATGGAGAATCCTGAGGATCAGGTGAACTTGCCTTCTAATCTCCTCCTTCAGTCGCAAATTCTCCAGGGCAAATCTAGTGACTTCTTGGTTGCGATCAACTTGAGCTCTTAAAACCTCAATTTCCTTCAAGTATTCTTCCTTCTTGTAATAAGGGTCCCTGCAGACATCATGCTTTTCAAGCTTTGGATCTCGTCTTCTCTCTGTTTTGCCTAACATCAGTCCGAAACAAAGTGACAATTTTCTTCTAATAACTTATCAAACTACATTATACTCTAAAGTTACCTAAGTAAAGAACAAAAGCTCACAGAAATCCTTTATAAACTTCCCAGCCAGGAAAACTGAGACCTATCGAATAAAGAAAAGTTACTTCATAGGACATACCAACTGCAAAGCTGCCTGATTTTCTGCTGTCAGGGCCTGTAAAGCAGCTTCATTCTCTCTTTCCCTCTTGAAGGCCCCAACAAGTGCAACTTCGTAATCTTTTTTCTGGAATACAAAGTCATAATCAGAAGAAAAATAAAATTAGTTTAACAACTATAAAATAGGAGTTTCCTCAATTAAGTAAGATTTCTGCATACCTGAGACATCCTTTTATCAGATGTAAGTGGACTGAATGATCCATGAAGACCTTCCCACTTTAAGGGCCCTGGAGATGCTGGAACACTTGATGTCAAACTATCACTATCTAGATTTTCAATTCTGCCATTAACAAAACCTCGTAGACGAGATACTTCTTTCTGAAAGAAACAGAATTTTGAATATTAAGGATTACTAGAAACCTGAAAGATTATGGGAACCATGCAAAATAAATTAATAAAATGAATCATTTAAGCTTTGACACAAGTTGGATTCATTAAACAGAAGTGTGCTTGCTGCTTGAAATGTCCTACTAAATTAACATTTATCAACTTAGCAAAACATAAGACTCACAGTATAACATTACTATAGCAGGAGTAGCACTTTAGGGTAATTTAAAAAACACTATCAAAAGTTTAACAATATTACCTTCAGCTGTTGAATTTGCAGCCTCATAGCAACAACATCTCCAGATGCATCTTCATTCACCACTGCCTGCACGACATTAATTCAACAACTTCCCATAAATATGGTATCCAAAAGTAAAGTAATAAATATTAACTAGAGTTTGACAAAGCAAATAACAGCGATAATACATACATACATACATATATTATAATTGTCTTATATAGTATTTAAAGATATTTTCACTATTTGAAATGAAAAATATATAATTTATATTATAAAAAATGATAACAAATTAAATAAAAATCGAATTTGGTTCGGATAATCAATGTTTTTAAAATTGTGAACCATTAACCGTCCAAACACTATGGTTTGGTTCGATTTTCGGTTTATTCAGTTTCTTTGCTCACCCCTATTCAAGGGTTGGCATCAATTTCCATTGAGACCTTAAAACCACCAAACATGCGTTGTATATAAAGTAGCTAAGCAAAGATCTCATACATTGTTCTTAATAAATTTAGCCCGCTGTGCAAACTTCAACGTACTTAGTGTCTCCAGTGAACAACTGCAGAGGATGGCAAAAGAAGAAAAAGAAAAATTGTCATTTACAAGTATGTACACAACAGATAAGTCGAGCTCATAGAAAGACAATAAAAGTACATTTAAAATCCAGGTCATTGTGAAAAATATAGTTAAAAAATATAAATTAAAAAAATAACATATTCCCTCATATTTAAAATTGAAGTTTAAAACAACCAACTAGCGCAGAAACAAAAACAAAATATATTCCACTAACCAATTAGAGGGACTAATATTCGCAATTATTGTTGTTTTTGCGTTTCCTCCTAGAGAATCCTGGAAGGAAAATAACAAGACAGAATTAACTTTCAGTTGCATAGCATAACCTGGAAATATTTGTGTGTGTGTATAACCAAAACATGTTAGGATAACTGCACAGTAGCTACCCAAGTCCTGCAAAACAAGGACTCATATAGTAACAGATTTTACATCAAAAAGTCCATGACATATAGCACTTTACCTGAAGAAAAAAAGTGAGTTTTGAATCTCGATAAGGTACATGGAGAGACTTCCCATTGGAAATATTTACAAGGTTCATTATCACAAATCTGCCAATATAAATTGTTACTTATGAGTGGTACAATGAGAAGTCAGAAGCAGGAGCATATAATTTGTTATTAAAAGTTAAATACTCACCCCAATGTTGAAAGAGACTTGTTAATATTAGTAGCCTCCTTGAGGCGTTCACCTTCAGCCCCGGAACTCTTTTGTCTGTCATGGGCAAATTATAAATGATATATTATGAAGAAACATAAAAAAAAAGCGGATGCTTTTAATACTTTGAAATTTTGTACCTTTCTGAGCCTGCTAAATCAACAAGATTAAGCCGAGCAAAGCGGTGGTGTCTTACAGATTGAGACTCCCACTGACATCAAACACTTTGTTAGAATTTCTTGTCTCAAGATAAAGACAATTTGAACAACGACAATTTCCTAGGAACTCTTCAATTAAAAGGTCACACTTACCTTGCTTTCAATTATGCATGTAAATACGCTGTGAGAACGACTACTAGAACAATTCATGTTAGTCGCAGCCACCTTTCTGTTTGCTGCACCCTGAAATATTATACAAAGCTTTTAGGTTAATGATGAGTTGGGTAGAGAACAAGGACAATTTTTTTTAAAAGTATATACAATCAAAATAAACTCAAGAAAACATTCTTAACTGCCTTTGTAACTTTTAACTAAAATTTTTAAGTTTGATCATCTACAATCTAGATGTGTTTTATGATAGGAGTAACTTTTTGGAGTCAATACTTGAATGAGCAGTTGAATCACATCCCGTGCACTTGTAACTTCCATCTCCTTAAGATTCTCAACGTAAACCCCTTTCTTTATGTCTTCTCTTATCTGCAATATAACCACCAAAGAGTAGTAAATTTCTTTAGTTGAGGAAAAGAAAACTTTTATTTCATGCTACACATAAACAAATGAGGGGAAAAAAAGGACAAAGAATTGTTCAACATACGCAGGTGACTTTACCTGTAAATTGGTTGATGATGGATCTAAGAGATCAAGAATTTGTTCATTATAGATTTCCAGAAAAGAGCATTTGCATGTAAATCTTAATTTCTCATCTTTACGATTGTCTTTTTCCTGACATCACAGAAGAATATTATGAGATAAAAAAGGCAAGAGATTTATAAAATAATGAAATTTTGTATGTAAACTCCTAGCATAAAGAAGCAACTATGTATTAAGTTTGGTAGAAACTTTGGTATTTATTTTACTTACACAAGTTCAATGCCCATTTCCGTTATTGTATTAAACAATTAATGAAGAAGTGCACAAGATTTAAGCTGCAATGCTTTTCAACACACAAAAAATTCAAAACTAACCCTTAGATGAATCTACCAATTATGATTTTGCAAATAGTATAATTGTCTATATGATCATAAGAGAGAATTATTTTGCATCTGAAGGAAGTAAATTGCACCCAAGAAAGTTGTGAAGCTATTTCAGTCACAATATGATTAAGTTATAAGGCACATACACCACACCTTTTGTATTCTTGAAAATAGGTGCTCAAACACCCTAGGTGTCATCCCACAGTTGACGCTGTGCCTCCGAGTCCCTCCTTCAATGTCTCCGAGCATTGTGTGAGTCTTCCCACTCCCAGTCTGTAATAATAAATTTTAAGTTGAAGCCAATACCAAAACAAGAACAAAAAGAAAACCAAATCAAATTAAATTAAATAATTTTAGAGACCAGTAAAGTGAGAAATTAACCTACAATTCATAGAAATACTAGAATGAATTTTACTCAAGAGATATTTGGAAGCTCACTTGGCCATATGCAAACATGCAGCTGTTGTAGCCTCCCATGCAATTTTCCACCATAGGCAATCCAGCTACTTTGAAGAGATTCTCCTGTAAAATCAATTAAATGTCATATTTCAAAATAACAGAACTAAACATAAAAATTAAACCAAAAAGACTTAAGATAAAAAAGAGGCATACCTGGCTAACATGTTCATCAGCAATAAGATCAAATGTAAAACGAGATTCTGGGTGCCCCTTCCAAGTAATTGTCTGGCAACTTTCTTGCCTAATACACTTGCTATTGCCTTGTAGTGAAATCTCAGAACTACTAAGGGGACGAATTCTTATGATAACCTAACAATTTCCCAAAAAATAAACTAAAATTAAATCCAGTTAGCTTAACTTTGATATACTCTCAATGATATATGTCTTTGCTTGGTTTTCTATTGAACTACTGGCTTTTTTATTTGCACAATAAAATACAAAACAGCATTGTGACAAAATATGATTTCCTAGTGAAATACGTACTCAGAAAACTACGTTTTGGCAATCCAGAACATTTCTTTCTTTCTTCCTTTCCCTTTTCACCTCTTTTTAAACTTTTGTTAAGAAAATTAAAGATAATACTCAAATATTTCAACCAACCTGCACATTGTGGTCTTTCCAAAATGCTGGATCTTCATGGAACTCAAAGCTCTGGGACGACTGCGGCGCTCCTCCTGTACTTTCAGTCAAATCTTCGTCCCACTCACTGATGCTCGGAATTGCGGATGCGACAGCAGTGAAATGGCCGGGATTCTCCTTCACTGCCGATTTCCCCAGAAGATCCGGCGAATTACGAACCGACGACAAGGAGACCGACTCAGATGAAGATGACTGGTTATGGTAGCCAAAACGGCTCTTGATAGCGCTCGCTGTATCCGAAATGAACGGCATTTTGGAAGGGAATGGCTTCGTTTTGAGTGAAAGTGAAGCGTTTTGGGTTTGAGAGAGATTTGAAAGTGACCAGGAAGAACGTTGGGAAATAAAGAAGGGCCAGATTTTGAAAGGTTTTGCCAAGGAAAAGCGAAGAGGAAAAAATCTCAGATCGGGTGGCATATACTGTATAGATGTTGGAATGGACGGTAAAGATTAAGTGTGTTTTTGAATTATCGACCGTTGAGAATGGTTGAAATTTTTGAACTGCGATTATGGAGCCCTTTTTAGTCCATCTGAGCGTGAATATTTTATTTTTCTTTAAGGAAGCATTAAATTACTGAAATACCCACAGTTCGCGTGGCTTCAAAGTATGCTCAAACAGCTGGAGTTTCCTTGGAACGGAGAGATTATTTAATTTCGCGTTAACTACCTTCTTAGTCATCAAACTATTGAGAATGTATTTTCTTAGTCACCTAACAAAAGTCTTGTAAATTTAATCACTATCATTACACTTTAATTTCAATTTAGTCACTGATCGTTTGACTGCTAACGGGAGTTAGTTTTGTCATTAGCATAATTACGAACTTAGTCCTTAACACTTACAAATTGTATTAATTTGGTCATAACTCTAAATAATTCAAAAAATTTAGTCCTTATATTTACAATATTTATAAATTTAGCCCTCCTTATTAATGCATTAATCCTCCAGACTTATAAATTCTATCAATTTAATCATAATTCTAAATCATTCAACAAGTTTAGCCCTCATATTTCCTCCCAATTTGGTTCTAATTCTAAATAATTCAATAAACTTAAACGTCATATTTGTAAAATTCTATCAATTTGATTATACTTCTAAATGATTCAAAAAAATTATCTTTCAAATTTATAAATTCTATCAATTTGGCCCTTCACATTTATGCTTTTAGCCCTCAACGCTTACAAATTCTATTAATGTCATCATAGTTCTAATAATTCAACAAATTGTTTTCGTATTTATAAATTCTATCCATTTGGCCTTCCACATTTATGCATTTGGTCCACATCGCCTACAACTTCTATGAATTTCGACACAATCCCTTTTTTTAAAAAAAATAAATTATAAAAAAAAAAAAAATTATAAAATAATCAAATATAATAGTAATAGATTTGATGCAAAAAAGATACTAAGCATCTTAAAGATATAGAATATCTCTCCCTCTCCAAATTGATAAAATCATGGCAAAGTTAATTCGTGCATGTAGCTTGTTTGCTGATAACTTTTCTATCGATAAGTAATTTAACAATTTAGTACATATTTGTTCGGTTAAAAGCTTGGAGGCACTGAAAGGCTTTTGGCGCTAATATGTTCTATTTTTAACTTTTGGCATGAATATTTGTCGAGCTTTATAATATGTTCTATCTTGAAGAAAATAATGTCTGTCGGGATCTTAAGAATGCGTAGCAGTATTAGTTGATAACTGACAAATCAATTTTCTTTTACTTTCCATCTGAATGCAATTCATGCGACGACACAAAGTTAGTCTCCACTCTTTGATGCGCAACCAAAACTATAAAATATGCAAGCATATAACTGATCCGGGAGACTTCCATGTACGCATCCTTGTCTCATGAAATATCTCACACCAGTCGGATATCTTCCTGCTAAATGTGGTTTAGTGCAGTCAAGACTCGAGAATCTTAATACGGAATAGAAGTACAAAACATTGTAGAACTCGAGATCAGTTCGCAAGTAATAAGAAAGCACCCCAGTACAATCCATGACACTAGTTATATAAATATGTAGCTGATCAGCTGTCAGAGATCGAAGATCCAGAAGCACCAAACCCGATTTTGAAATTGAAGGAAATGCAAGTTAACACTTGAATTCCCTCACCTGATATTGTCATCTTAAGTGTGTAGGAACCCTGCAAAAAGTAAATAAATAATCAGATAATCACATATATGTTAACTGTAATGTAATTGGTTAGTGAATGAAGCCTAAAAGAATCTAATTAGTTCTGCAGTTTGAAACCGGCGCATCCTGTTTCACTTTTGACCGTGCTTCCTATTGAAGTTCTTTCAAGATCAAACCACACAAGCTAGATGGAGTTCGTAAAGTGCCAAGAAGAAAGGATACGCCTCTGGATTCTGGTCTCCAATGACAGTTTAAGTAACATTCAGAACATATGACAAACTACGGTCAAGGAATTAATTATCGAAATAATAAGATTCCCAAATCAAACAACAATCTTATGTCAACCCAAATTGTAAAGAAGAAGAAATTAAGAAAGATTCATCAATTGAATAAAAGAAACAAATTAGCCGCAGACAAGAAAAAAGAACCACTCATGACTGCAGTGAGCTCAAGTTACCCATGCTTAGTTTGCTTGAACGACAAAGGAAATCCAGCCGAAGGAAGTAATTGCAACACTATATATATATACATGAATGCAACTATCCATTTTATGACAACATTTATAGAGTTTGGTACTAGCAAAGGATGTCACAGATAGGCTAATGAAAGGTTTTATGGGTTTCCTTATTGTGCCTGCACGAAAGTTGAGGAAAACAAGTCTTCTACTAATATATATATATATATATCAAAACTAGACACCAAACATACATAAAAGAAAGAAATGGGCGATACTAAGATCAATAATGAAACATTGCGAAAAACCATTGATTTCTCCAACCGATTATGAAAGATTAGGTCAGTTGAATGTCTAAAAAAGTCAAGTTATGAGGGAACCTTGCAAGTGGTACGGTTCTGAAAATAGTTTGAAAATGAAGAGTTTATCCCAGTTAAGAGAAGCTTACTGGTGGAGTAAATCCAGGTAAAACTTGATTGTGAGAGAGCACAAAGTTGCCAACAGCAACAGGGCAGGATGTTTCCTCACAAAGGTCGTGAGTTTCTTGATGGATATGAATACCAAAGTAGGAAACATCGATCACCGCTTTGCCACCGGTGATAGCTTTACCTGCAAAACATATGCATTCATGAAATGTCAAAGAAGACAATCTCTGTGAACCATGGATGTGGAGGAAAAAAAAGGCATACACTCACATAAACGGCGAACCAAAGACGTTTCTGGATGCCAAGAATTTTCTTTAAGAACTAAAGTTTTTGAAGAAAATGGTTTCGCCATTAAAATACAACACTACCCCACTCACTAAGATTAGAAGTGTTATTTACTTGAGAAATTGGATAATGATGTACGGTTTTGTAGATCATGAGGAACAGTGGGAAGAATTAACATTAATGATGAGGGTTTCAAAAGAACTAATGAATTAATGATATTGATTTAGGGGTTGTGCCGGTACTTGAACAGTATTGAGGCCATTATTAGGGGTTTCAGAATTGAGTTTGACTGTGAAATCAATATCAGCAGATATTGAGGACTATAGCTCTGATTCTAAATTAAAAGAAAACCTTAAATAAGGAAGATGAAGTGAAGGCTGTAAACCTGGATTTCTTTAGCCTATGTCTTTAGAACTTCGCGTTTTCGGATGCGAAATAAGATATAATCTTCCAAAGACCTAGATACAAGGAAAAACTAAAAAAACAACTTAAACAAACAGGTATCATAGATAAAGATCATCCTTGCATACTTCTAGTTCTAATCTTACCACACAACAAGCGTAGGAAAAGATTCCCTTATCCTTAACTTATGATCCAGAGTCCAGAGAACACATACATACATAAACCATTAAGAGAAATTGCAAGAACTGGAAGTTACCAGTAGAAGCTGAGATGGCGAAGGTGGCCGGTTTGCCTCTAATCACTGGATTAGGTGATATATCTACTCCTTTGACTTTTACAACATAATTACCTTTCTTATCTGCATTGATTTCAATCCAGGAACGCAGGCGTGTATTAAAAGAAAATCAAAGCGATTGAACGCCACAAAAAAGAGAGAGGGTAAAATAAGTAAAACAACAGCAAAAGCAATTAAGAATCCACGGATTAACATACATCAGTTCATCTTAGAGTGAAAAGGGGGGAAAAAGATCTAGCAGAAAGAAAGAAGAAAACTGACCGCAGTAGTTGAAATCAGTGGCCTGAAGAAAAGGTAAAAGAAACAAAGAGATGGATAGAAGGGGCAAAATGATGAGCTTGAATCGAGCTGCTAATGTGTCCATGGTGGATAGCTTGCTTACAGAGGTTGTTTGACAAAGTGAAAATTATATAAAGTCTGTGTTTGGTCATTATGTGATTATGATTTATGGGACCCAAACCAAAACCAATGATCTTATCAAGCAATAAATAATTGTCATCGTCAGCTTCGTTGTCACTAGGTCCCGCAGTCGAGATTAATCTTTGGGTTCTTGCATTGACTACAAAATTGGATATGGATTGAGGCCTGGGAATTCGGACTACGGCTAGGCCTTAACCTATGGATCTCTCCATTAAAGCCCAGCCTCTTGGTGTACAAACTACAAGTATCTCACGTTTAAAAAGTAGGGTAATAAATTAGACGAAAGAGATCATAGATTATTTTAAATCGATTTGATCAAAGTTTGATAATATTTAATTTGAAATATTTGACTTGAATTCTTAGTGATTTGAAATAAATTATTTGATACTTGATTCGAAAAGCTCGCAAGTTACTTGAAATAATAATATATTTATTAAAAAATAAATTATTAATAATATCAAAATTTATGTGTTTATTTGTTTTAAAAATATAGTATAAAATTTTTATTTACTCAAAGTTTAGGTTCGAGATTGAGCTTCAATTTCTATTTACTCAAAGTTTAGGTTCGAAATTCAATTTATGATTTGGAGTTTCAATCGAGCTTAAAAATCTTAGACTCATAAATTTTTTTACTCGAGTCAAATTCAACAATACTCAAACTCTAATCAGTTCGGTTGCAGTCTTACTAAAGGAGTTTCTTAGTGTCAATGTCATGCTAATGGGGCAGGTGTGATTACGTACATCAAGGCAGCGGTTAATGGGGTTCTTTTTCGGAATTTCAAAGGAAGATTATTGTTAGTCGTGCTTAGGGATATAAATGAGCCAAGTTGAGTCAGAATATTACTTAGTACGGTTTAATTTAAAAACTCTAAAATAGATTTTGACTTAATTCAAAAACTCGCAAGTTAAAAATTTTTAAGCTCAACTCAAATTCGAAATTATGAATTAAAACTCTTAAAAGCTTGAAATGGAAAAAATCTTAAATTTAACTCGCTTGATGCCTCAAACTCAAATATGAACCTTAAACACATGAAAATCTTATATTGTGTTTTTTTAAAAAAAAAATCAACATATAAATGTTAATATTATTAATAACTTATTTTTTAAATAAAATGATAATATATTATATTTTTTAACTACTAATAATTAATTTTTTAAAATAAAATGTTAGCATATTATATTTTCGAGCTATTCACTAACTTTTCGGGTGAAGTATCAAGTAGCTCGTTTCGACTCTCGTTAATAACTCAAGCCGAGCTCGAGCTCGAGTTTGAGTCCATTTGAATCTAATATTTATCGAGTTTTAACTGAATCGATCCTAAATAACTCGCAACATATTTCATCTCATTTAGAGCCCTAGTCATACTATGTTAGCCATTGATCTATGTGATGCGAGCCTCGATGGGTATGAGTTATCACACAAGGAAATCGATGAACGGTCACATTATAATGATCTAATGTTATTATTGTTAATGTCGTTGGCCAGTTGATTCATCGAAGTTTTGACTTATTTATGGTAAGCTTCCATTTATATGAAACACGATGACTGCTGAAATCGGCACCCATCTTTATTGTCCACATCTTTATTCGTTGGGCTTCCATTAATTGTTTATCTTTATATTTCGTTTATGATAGTTGTGACTGAATATCTATTATTGTTCTCAATGAAATAATTTTCAACTAATATAAAATATTTAAAAAAAATCATCACTTATAATATCAGTTTTTTAATAGTTATTAGTTCGGTGACTTACGGTAAAGTTTATCTAACAACCACATTTTGGTTCAATATAAAATTGATATAAAAACTATATACCCTTTAACAATTAAGTTGTTATGTGTCCAAAAAGAAAAAAATAATAAGTCTACTCACGAATCAATTTATATTAGTGGTTAAAGGAAACATTATTGTTCCTAGATGTCACGTATTCGAGCACTAACGATTACAGCAGGGTGTTGAATATTCATTGTCAAATGATTGAGAATATTTAAAACATATATTACTTTATAATCATATTAGCTTAATAAACAAAAAAAACTAATGTATTAATGTTACCTAAAAACTTACCATTATTATTATTGACGAAAAAACATAGATAATATATACTAAATTATCACATCTTAGGTTAATACGAAATTAATATTTACAAGCTTGTTAATCTATCAAATGATTTGAATGATAAAAGAGAATACATTTCTTTTAAAGATTTTATGTTCGAATAGCTACGTATGTGTACATTTCTTTTAACGTGCAATGCATTTTTTCTAATAAACTTAAAATTTAATAAATATTTTATAATTTTTGAAACTTTAATATTAAAAAATGATTTGAAAATATTTTAGTAATTTTATCTTTATTCTCACATCTATTATTTGGTAAGGTCTGCACAGCTGAATAGAAAAGGAGTTACCTAGCTAGTGGAGGGAGTGGGGTGCTTTGACATCATTTTCCACGATTCCGACATTGAGATCTCTATGCCTTATTATGAGTTTAGAATTCGATAGTTGAAAGAATCTGCCAGCTATTTTTGGTATCCTTGCATTTTTATTAATATAATATAACATGTTTATCATCGTTCAAATTGGCAAACTATTCCTTAAATTAATAAGGCTTAATTAAAAAAATAAATATTCAAATTATATTGTTGTTATCAAATAGATGTTTGAACTTATTTTGAATCATCTATACACTTAATGTTATGAACGATATAATTTTAAGTGTCTGAACCGTAATGATTGTTAAATTCCCGTTAAATGAAACGTGTTATGTTCGGATAATTTTATAAAATTTATTTAAAATAAATTATATATATATATATTTAAAAAACCCAAAATTTCAAAAAACTTTCACAACTCTCAACTTTTTTTAAAAAAACTCTAATTTCAATCACTAAACCCATATCAATCGTCGCCATTGACGTTGATCACCTTCACCAAAACCTTCATCCTACGACAATCCACACACGACCATAAACACTACATCTTTACGAAGGAAACGACAAAATTACAACCAAAATCATATTTTCAATTAACTAAAACCCCAAAATTCACAACACTCAAACGATGCAACAACGCGCACAACACCAAGAGAGATGACGCTCGACTAGGAGATGACAAATTGGAGTACTTTTGTCATTTTAGAAAAATAGAGTTTTTTTTTATAAATATAACATTTTTATTTTTAAAAAAAATCAAAATTACCATTGCATTACACATTTCACTTAACAAAATTTTTTAATGATCGCTACGTCTTGAATACCTAAAAGAGTAATATTTGTAACGTTAGATACGATTAAAAAAAAGTGTGAGCACTTATTTAGAAAAAAAATTAGATATTTATTTTATAATTAAGCTAAAGTAAATGCTCCTAATTCCCTTATTTACAGAGTAGAAATTGTAGTTCCACGTGTAGGTTTTCATCTTCGAGGGTAATTAATTAGACAGGACATTGCGCGTGAAAATTTGAATCCTCCTTAATAGGTGGCAGAAAGGAAAAAACCCCTTGTAAGTAGGAACCGGTAGTCACCGTTAATATTTCAGCCTCGTTATGCGTCCTTCCGGTTACCCTTCCCAGCATTCATTCACGTCTCGAAGATGATCAATAAGGTGCACGAGTCCTCCTTCCGTACATCCCTTACCGTCTGCTCCCAGTAAAAAATATTATTATTTATTTCTTTACAATAAAATTGAGGAAAAGTTAGATTTCCTTTTCAATTATTTTCGTTTCTTTTTTTATTGATATTAAAATGCTTGGAGATTGGCCTTTTTTCGTTTTCTAATTCTTCGACGGCTTCGAGGATTACAGAGGAGATAAGGTGAAATAGAAAAGCTTCTAACAAATAAAAGAAAAGTAAAACTGAAAAAGGAGTTTTTCTCCTTTCTTCCTTTATGGAAAGTGTTGTCGATTTTTTTACGAGGCGGTTAACTCATGACCTTAGTTAGGGTTTTCGAAAAGTCGAATTAACTTTAATTTGAGGTGGCAGATCTTGATTTATCCCAATTAAGGGATTTTTAAAAAAAAATTGTTTCCAGCTCTTCATTTTCAACCTTCTTCGGTACTTATCAAGCCTTCAGGTGATGACCTTCCGCCTTACAAGAGAGACGGCGGTGGTCTTGCCCGCGTGGTGATTTGTTTCGCGAGCGGAAGTCATTGTTGAAGAATCTTGGCTTAATTGCATGTCTTGGCATCCTACTTCATAGATATTCTTCCATTAAGACGCGTTATAAGCCATAGCTCAATCTTACACCGTCAATGGAAGAGTACTAGCGCAGAGCAAAGACAGGCTGAGACCGACCATGATCAGAATCACAACAGAGCTATGAAATCACCGGCACCAATGCAGAGGGAGCAACATCAACAGCAACAACCACAACAACAAAACCATCAACTAGAAAGCCAGGCTTCGACACATGGACTTAGGTCTCCTCCTCCTTCGACGCAATAGCAGTCTGCAGCAGCTACGCCTTCTACTCAAGGACAGTCGCAAGCTCCAGTGGTGGGGCCAAGGTGGGCTCCCAATTCGGTGGAGAATGCGATCATAGAGAAGAAAGAAGATGGGTCTGGCCCTAGGTGTGGCCATACCCTAACGGTTGTGGCAGCCGTGGGAGAAGAAGGGACGCCTGAGTATATTGGACCCAGGTTGATTTTGTTTGGTGGTGCCACGACACTAGAAGGGAATTCTGCTTCGTCTGGGACTCCATCATCAGCTGGAAGCACTGGCATCAGTAAGTTGGTTTTGTTTTGTTTTATTTTATTTTGATTTGATGGTTATGGAAAAAACCCGCAAATTTTTATAAGATGCATAGAAATTTGGTTACTCATATACAAGTATGTTCAATAACCTTAGGGGATTTAAGGGGCACACTCTTTAAACCCTGCTATTTTAGCTTCAAATATCATATTTGACGAGGTTTAGAATGAAATCAATCAATAATTGGAAGTCAAAGTTGGATGGCAACACATGCAACA